TTTGGGTTTACAAAAACTGATTTGATTAGCCACATTCTCCTGAATTTAGATGAACAATTAACTTTTAATGCTAATATCAAATATACAGAAGATAGTTTTAAATATGAGATTATTTCAAGAACATTTGTTTCTATGAACTACAAGGCATGAGTTCTTTTCTTCTGTGTCACTTTCCTAGTACATCTTCCTATTTCTCCTCTCCATTGTCTCATGGCCACACGCATGGGCTCTATCATACAAACTTTCCAATGTTCTTGTAAAGGTTCTATACAAAAGAGTTACAGTTACACAAGGAAGGTAATGAGTGCATTTCTGGTCTTGTCGAGCATTGTTACCCCTCCTTTATTGTTCTCCCACTATCCCTTCCCTCCTCCACCTCCCTCACTTTTCCCCAACCCCCCGAAGTTGTAAAGTTCATTTCCAATATAGTATCTTATGGATATTATTGTTGAAATGGATCATCCTGTATTCTTGTTGTTTCAGCATTTTGTTATTCCATTCCTCTCCCCAAATTAAACAAATGCATATACAAGATGCAGGGTACCAAAATCAAGAACATACAAGAGAAACAAAAAAAAAATCACGTAGTACATTAAAAACAACAACAATGAAAGACCTTTTGTGTCCCTATCTTCGGGTTCATTTTGATTAGCATTATCTGATATAGTCATATAAGATAACATTTTCTGTTTTATACTGTTTTCATAAAAACATTTTCTAATACTTCCAGCAAAATTAGAAAATAAACCCTTAAAAGAATCAAGGTAATTTGGAAGAATGAGATAAATGAAGAAAAATCATCAATTTTTCGGTGTACAGATAAAGTACATATTTGAAAATTGAAAATAAGAGAAATCATGGGACATATGTTACTTTGGGCCTGGCTTACTTCTCTTAATGTAATTTTTTCCAGCTCTTTCAATTTCCTAACAAATGGGGCAATGCCATTCTTTCTGATGGAGGCATAGAAGTCCACTATATATATATATATATATATATATACATACCACATTTTCTTGATCCATTCGTCTACTGAGGGGCATCTGGGTTGGTTCCATATCTTAGCTATGGTAAATAATGCTGCAATAAACATAGTTGTGCTGGTAGCTTTAGTATGGTCTTGTTTGTGATCATTTGGGTAAATGCCCAAAAGTAGGATTGCTGGGTAATAGGGGAGCTCTATGTGGAGTCTTTTGAGGAATCTCCATACTGCTTTCCAAAGTGGTTATATTAAGTGAAGTAAGCCAGGCCCAAAGAAACATAGGTCGCATGGTTTCCCTTATTTGCAATAACTAGTCTATGACTGGGACAAGCAGAAAAGGTCAAAAGCTATGTACATATGACCAGATAAGATGGCGTTAAGCGAAATGAACTCCAAGATACGGTCACAAGTGGTTGCTTCTTTCTTGCTATTGTTTCTAGTATTTGTAAGGTACCACGTTTTTTGTTGCTTTGTATGTCCCTCCAGCACGGTATAACCTCTGTTTTCACTGTATTTTGATGTTAGTATAATTTGGGGAGGGAAGGGAAAAATTGTTTAAATAGGGATACAGGTTGATGCACTGCAACAATGAGTTATAAGACATTATGTTGAAAAACAAACTTTACACTTGAAGCCAGGGGTGGGGGTGTGTGGGGAAGGAGGGGGGAGTGCAGTTGTAGAGGTGGGAGGAAGGGATGGTAGGGAAAACAAAGGAGGAGCCAACAATGTTTGATAAGAAATGTACTCATAGCCGGGCGCTGGTGGCTCACGCCTGTAATCCTAGCTACTCAGGAGGCTGAGATCTGAGGATCGCGGTTCAAAGCCAGCCTGGGCAGGAGAGACCGTGAGACTCCTATCTCCAATAAACCACCAGAAAACCGGAAGTGGCGCTGTAGCTCAAGTGGTAGAGCGCTCGCCTTGAGCTGAAGAGCTGAGGGACAGCGCACAGGCCCAGAGTTCAAGCCCCACAACCGACAAAAAAAAAAAAAAAAAAAAAAAAAGAAATGTACTCATTTCCTTGCTCGTGTAACTGTAACCCCTCTGTACAATAGTTTCACAATAAAAAACATTTTTTTTTTAAAAAGTACATATTTGAGTTTTTACCTGCCATTCTAATGAATGAGAGTCATGGATTTTACTGAATAGGTATAAATACAGTTTTTACTCTCTAATATTATATTAACTAGGCCTTAGATATATTTCATTAAACTGGGTATTCTAGTGTGTAGTTAATTATAGTTTTATATCCACATCTTGAATAACTAAATGTAACCCTACTATTATTTATGATCAAGTAAAATTATTACTATTATTCCACTGTAATGGTTTTAGGAAACATTCCTATAAATTCAACTTATGTCTGCAAAGATTTACCTGAGATCTATTTTCTTATTCCCTCCTAACTAATATCAGGTATCGTTGTGTTACATTTTGTAACTGCCTCAATCACACTGAATTCATCAGTTGGGTTCTTAAGAACATTAAAATTATTTAGAGCAAGGATTACAGATATCTATATATATACATATTTCATCTTATAGAATTTGTGAATGACAAGTGTCTGAGAAAAATCAGACTTGTGTTTCTTGAGTTGGGTAAGTTAATGAAAGTTAGGAATATCAAGAAAGCATTTTTCTACTGAGTCTAGTGTAACTTGACACTGTTAGTCATTAGTGAATACTACTAAAGTTATGGGTGCTCCTTATTTCATGCATTTTCTTAATTGAAAAATATCTGTTTTAATTTCTATTGCACTTAAATTCAATATTTCTGCAAGTTTCTATAGGTCAATTGCTTGACTCTCAAAATCTAAAGTTACTCATCTGGTGTTCAAGCTCATTTAATGTTCCTAAGTGTAAGATTTCAATCAGAGTTCTGCAAATTAAGCAGTGGCAACCAATTACTTGAATTAAGAAATGAGAATGCATCATTTACTCTCAGACCTACATTAGGTCTTGGCATCCTGTTGCTAATAGAATGGGAAGGATATATAAAATGCTGAAGATGAAGGAGGCTGAAGTCAGAAACTATGATTGCTCATAGAAACCTCTGACTAATTAAGAATTCAAATTATTCCCCACCTTTCTCTGTCTCTTCTTTCCTCTATTCTTCTTTCTTTTTATAATTCTTCAAAATAAGATCTAATCTAGAGTTACTGTTAGGGTAGCCATATGTATGTAACAAATGAAAAGAAAATAGATATAGTAGCAGACACATGGGTTCAATTATGTCCAATATATAATGTTCATCACTGCATTCCATAGTTCAGATATTACTTTGCAACACTTCTTCTGTATTCTCAGATCAATAAAACCATTTCCATGCTATGTGTTAGTTCAAGGTGGGGAATGATTTTCCGTCTGGAATTAGGTATAGTTTTCTTATGCTGCAGTAAAAATTTGACTCACAAACACACACACACGCGCACACACACACACACACACACACACACACACACTGGCTTAAGACAATACACATTGTTCTCTTTCAGGTAAGAAATCTGAGGAGACAGCAGGATTACACTCCTGCTCCAAGGCCTCAGGGAGGAGATTGTTTCCTTGCTTTATTATAGCTTTTATGATGAGTCTGTCTTCACATCACTCTAACTCCTGACACTAATACCCCATTCTCTGTCTGAACCAAAGCTCTGCAATGGTGTTTTCATCACCTAGATAGGCCACACATCTTAAGCTCCTTCTTCAAATTATATCAAGGCCCTATTACATATCTGTGGTTTATAGCATAGACATTGGTGGATGAGAACATTATTTAGATTACTGACACTTTGTCTTCAATATTTTATGACAGAAATAGTAGAAAATAAACCTTAAGGTTTTGTTAGAATAGGACTCTGTATTTTCCTATCACAGAATCATATATGTTTGAGAATGGCAAAAACTATATATAATTTGTCATTAAATTGAAACACCTGGTGGTATTTTCTCTAATACTTATGGCACCTGAGTGCAAAATTATGCTTTAGAACAACTGGAAATGCGTTTATGGGGAGCTGGAAGGTTTGACTCAGAATGGTAAAGTGGTTGACTGTACAGTTTATTATAAAATACTTGAATTTTAAACTTTGTTTTATAATTTTATATGTTTGTGACAGAAAATAATTGTCCTTATGAGCCTGTAATATTAATATGCTATTCTGAATATGTAGCTATAATTAACATCTGAAAAGTATATATGAATATTTTAATATATAATTTATTATCGTCATCATTCTCCTATTACAGACATTTCCCTCATAAGAATGTTACAATCATTCACTACAAGCAATGCAGAAGAAATTATGTATGAAAGAGTTTCTTTCTAATTTGTACTTTTTAACTTTTTAGCTTTCCTCAAACTATCATTATCAATTTGTGCAAATAGGAAGAGTGATTGAGGAAATATTTTTTGTTGTTGTTGTTTTTGGCAGTCATGGGTCTTGAAACTCTGAGTCTGGGAGCTGTCCCTGAGCTCTTCAGCTCAAAGCTAGCCTTCTATCACTTGAATCACAGTCCCACTTAGGTTTTTTGGCAGTTAATTGGAGATCAGGGTCTCAAGGACTTTCCTGACCCGCTGGCTTTGAACCAGGATCCTTACATATCAGGTTCCTGAGTAGCTAGGTTTCCAGGCATGAGCCACTGGCACCCAGCTTAGGAAAGACATATTATAAAGGATTACAAACTTGAGCTGAAAAGTTACTCTTCCAATGAGCCAAGAGTACAGTTTAGAAATTTAGAGATAAGTATAATAAAGATCATAATGCTGGCAGAAAGACTATTGAGTAATAGAGAAAAGACATAAATGTAACCAAAAACAAGAAAAAATAAGGAGGAAAAGCCAAAAGGGGATTGCTGAGTAATTTATTATTTTTGTAACAGTTGCTTGAACTCAGGACCTGGGCTCTGATTCTGAGCTATTTTTTTTTTTTTTTATAAATGATAACTTTCTACCACCTGAGCCACAGCTTTGCTTCTGGCTTTCTGCTGTGTGTGTGTGTGTGTGTGTGTGTGTGTGTGTGTGTGTGTGTGTGTGTGTGTGTGTGTGTTTAACTGAAGATAAGAGTTTCAGGCATTTTCCATTTCCTACTTTGGCTGGCTTCTAAACCTGATCACAAATTATAGGTAGCATAGAAGGAAAAGGAAGTCACACAAGCTGTAACATGGACACAAACATTGTTAATAAATCAGTTTTATGAAGACTGTTATCCTCACTCATTTGATAATGTAGGTGAAATTATTTATTCATATTGATTGTTTGCCAGTTTATTCTGTCTTTTGTCTTTATAATTTTAATGTTTAGGCTTGTTATTCTCCACTTAAACTGAATGGTTTTTTAAGCAAAAGTTTAGAATAAACAGTTTAAATATTTTATCTATTTTTATCATTTTAAAATTTAATGAAAATGCCAACACTTGTGATAGAGATACTATTAAAAAGAATCTATCTTTTGGATGGAGGCGTACAGTTTTTCTCTCTATACATATATTCATACACATACACACATATATGTATATATACCACATTTTCTTGATCTGTTCATCTACTGAGGCATCTGGGTAGGTTCCATGGTAAATAATTCTGCAATAAACATAGTTGTGCTGGTAACTTTAGTATGGCCTTGTTTATGATCATTAGGGTAAATGCCCCAATGTGGGATTGTTGGACCATAGGGGAGCTCTATGAGGAGTCTTTTGAGGAACCTCAATACTACTTTCCAGACTGGTTGAACAAGTTTACACTCACACCAACAGTGCAGTAGGATTCCCTTCTGTCCACATCCCCTCCAGCATATGTTGTTATTAGAGTTCTTGATTATAGCCATTCTAACTGGGGTGAGGTGGTATCTCAATATGGTTTTGATTTGCATTTATTTTATGGCTAGAAAAGTTGAACATTTCTTCATGCGTTTATTGGCCATTCTTATTTCCTCTTCAGAGAAGTCTCTTTTTAAGTCTTTAGGCCACTTATTAATTGGGCAGTTGTTTCTTGGAGGATTTGTTGCTAGGAGATTTAAAAAATTATATTAAGTGAAGTAAGCTAGCCCCAAAGAAACTAATAGGACCCATGGTTTCCCTTATTTGCAATAAGTAGTATAGCTAGTATATATATATATATATATATATATATATATAAAATATACTATATATAACATAATATATAATATTATATATAATACATATATATTATTTTTATATTTTTATATTATAATATATTATATAGTTTATATTATATACTATATATAGTGTATCTATAGTATATATAGTATGTACTATATATATTATATATTATATAATATGTATATTATATAATATATTGTATGTTATATATATTATATAATATATACTATATGTTATATATAATATATATTACATAATATATGTTATATATTATATATCACATAATATAATATATTATAGCATAATATATAGTATATATAATATATATAGCAAATTATAATTATTATAATTATAATAATATAATTATATATTATGTATAATATATTCAACAATAATATATTATATATAATATCTATAAACTATATTATATAATTATAGTATTATAATTATATATAGTATATTATAATTATCATAATTATAATTATATTATTGTAATTATAATAATTATAATATACTATATATATACTATTTATAATATATATATATGCTAGTCAAAAACTATATCCATATGACCATATAAGATGATGCTAAGCGAAATGAACCCTGAGATAGGGACACAAGAGGTTTTATCTTTCTTGGTGTTGTTTTTAATGTACTTATAATGTACTATGTGATTTTTTTGTTTCTTTTATATGTTCTATTCCCATGGTATCACCCCTGTTTTCACCGTATTTGACTATAGTGCCCTGCATTTTGTATATATATTTTTCTAATTTGGGGAGAGGAAGGGAAATAACAAAATGCTGAAATAAGGATACAGGTTGACCCATTGTAACAATGAGATATACAAGACACTAGGTTGAAAATAAACTTTATAACTTTGTGGGTGGGTGGGGGAGGGAGAAGTTGAGGAAGTAGGAAGTGATGGTAGGGGAAAAACAAAGGATGGGGTAACAATGCTCGATAGGAAATGTACTCATTACGTTACTCATGTAACTTAACCCCTCTGTACAGTATCTTTTCAATAAAAGTATTTATTAAAAAAAGAATCAAAGCTGCAGACAAAATTCTATACTACATAATGAACGTGTTTCTGAGTTAGCCAAATACATACCTAATTGCCGGCATATATATTCTACCTGCTGGCTCAGCTTCTTTCTATCTATAAATATCAGAAAGTTACTGCTGGAATGCTGCTAAATTCTCAATACTCATTATATCATGTCATCCAATACCAGTCTAGTATTTATGTTAATCTATTGAGCAGTTTCATGTGTAAAAATTATTTGTCATGCTTTGTAATCTATATCTCAAATGTTTTCTGTAGTCAGAGTTAAAAAGTGGAAATAAATGAAATCAAACTGAAAATCATGAGAAATCTAATTGTGATTTTTTTGTGCAGACAATAGCTAAATTAATGTTCTCTCAACCTTTTATAATTAGAATGTAATATTCTGTGGAGCAATACAATTACATAGCAAAACAGATGGTCGTAGAGGGGATAAAAATTTAATCCTTAAGCACTTGTTGTGTCATGAGCTGTAGTTTCAAGTTTTCCAGAAGTGTTGCTTTAAAGAATATTGTTTACTAATAGAAAATACTGCATTTTCCTAAATTCAAATAAGAATTAAGCTGTGTGTTATAGTTCAATCTAACAAATTTTGAACTGAAATATGTATGCCTCTCCCAGTTCTTGGGTGGCAACATACTACCACAGTGTTTACACATACCCACATCCAGGCTTATTTTTATCAGTTACTTTCAGAATCGAATCTCACTTCCACCTCTAGCATCCGTGTGAACCACAGTCTACATACTTTTGGCTTCCCATCCTTAGGAGATTGGAAGACATGAAGCACAATATCCAGCGTCCCTCTGTGGAGTGACATCTTGCAGAGTTCCTGACTAGGCTTTTATGAAACCATGATCCTCCCAATTTCAACTTTTGTGTAGTTTCTCATAACAAAGCATATGGTAGATTGCCTAGGCTATCCATCCACTCTCAGCTCCCCAAATAGCTTGGATTCAATGTAATGAATAACTATAAATTATAATTATTAAAACCATGTGACTAGACCAGTGTTATTCATAGAGCACAATTGATTAGCTAATGATACTTTAGGATACAAAAGTTAAAACAGTAAGTTAGAGCAATATTTCACCACATTTGTACTATTAACACTCTGGATCATATATAATATTTTTTTGTGATGTCCTTATGCCATAGTGTAGCATGGTCTGTCTCCAGTAGATACTAGCATTCTTTACCACAAATAGTGGCATTCATAACAAATATCTAAATGCATATCCAAAGCTACTTGTAAGTCAAATTTAACCCTAAATGGAAAAAATAGCTTAAAGTTATTGAATCTAACATTGAAGCCAGAGGTGTCTTTGCCTCTTCATAAGCATTTTCCCCAGGGTTTAATGCAAGGCCACTAATTTCTTACTTTGTTACATCTGCTCTGGGACTCTCAATCTCTGTGTGTTTCCTTTCACTTTCTCTTTCACATAAACTTTCCTAACAATAAGATAAACATATTTAATACTTGAGCCAATGTTCTCCATAAATTACCAAAAATAATTTGAGAGTTTTGCTTTGGAGGTTATTTAATTGCCTTGTTCTATCTCTTATTTTTCATTTTTCACCTTGAAAGAAAGATTAGCGGGAAGAAATGATCAAAGTAATTTAATTCAAGCATCTAATTTTGGTGACAAAATATAGATATTAAAGCAAATGTGGAGGTATAGCATGACATGCAATACAGACAATCCAAGCAAGTATAAAACCCTGAGTTCCAATCACCGAAAAATAAAATTGTGAAGATAAAGAATAAAGGTTCTTCACAGTCAAATTATCTGCTTGTCAGTTCATCTTCATCTATGTAGTGCCTACCTTATAAGGGTAAAAAGGCTCTCACCTTGAAGTTGCTTTTTGTATCTTTATAGTACTGTTCTTCCATTGCTCAATCACTGCTTTCCTTTGTTAGCAATTTTCAAAGGGACCATTTTAATTTTCTAACTATTTGTTTTACTTTAATCTACTACAATGTCCTCTGAACTGGCATTTTTCCTGTTTTAGGGATTGTGTTCTTTTTTGAGACTGCTAGGGAAAATTTTTGGAAGATTAAAACCAGTTGACACATCACAAATTCAATTTCTTATTGAGTTTCACATTTTTTCCTGAGGAAAACAACTACCTTAGTATATTCCTACAAATACTTCTATTCTGAACTCCAAGCATCCATATTTAATTATCGTTTGAATATTTATTAAGCATATCTGTAGATAAAATTCTGAGCTCTTGAATCTCATGTTATAGTATACCCATTTGTATGATCTTCAACATTGGTAAAAAAAATCAATTAATTCTTATAATTGTCTTGTATTATGTTCCTTAAATCATTTTTAATCTTTCATTTATCTTGAGCTAACATAGAATTTAGAGCAAATCTTACTTACCAACATTCAATAATAATTTAGAATTGAAATAAGTATTCTAGAGTAGATGATATTCTTATATTTATCCCAATTTGTTTTTTATTGGGTTTTTATTGTTTTTGTGTTGATCTCAGCTGTATTACTGAGCCAGTAAGGGTGCCTGCTTTTAAATGCATGCAAATATAATAATTATATGAAGAGCTATACAGTAACTTTGAAAAACAGTTTAAACAAGAATTTTTAATATGGGTCAGGCTATTGGTAGATTTTACAAGTGATTTTTTTTGTTAATTTTGATTCCTGAACAGTTATTTTTATTTTTATTTTTTGCTTTTTCTGAAAAGCATTGCTTCAGTAAATTTAGCATGTCTGAGGCATAAATTCACTAGAGGAAAGATATTTTACAATAGTTATCTTTGTTATAATTATTAATAACAGTAGTGAATCAATCTGGGATTGCACAGATGTCCTTGAAGGCATATTATTTAGAATACAGTTTTAATATCTTTTTTGAAAGCTTGTGGTGCTGATATAATGTTTTTTTATTGAAATGATAGCTATTATCAAGTAATTGTCTTAAAATCCTTTGCCTGAATGCCATTCAACTTTAATTATATACTTTATATTATGATTGAGATAGGCAACTTTACCTTGATTCTGATAATTTTAATACATGTCAATATTAGACATAGATATTGAAGAAAAGTTTTCAAACTGGTTGTTATTTTTCTCCAAAGCCATAAATTATATTCAAATATGATTATGCAGCCCACATAATGCAAGCTATAAATGAATGAGAAACTTTGAAAATATCATCAAAATCAGTATGTTTTATTTTCTCAATATTACATCATTTTACATTATGAAAACAATATAAAAATAAAAGTAAATAATGATATTTTCAACCTGAGCTGTGATGTGAAATTTTATGTTAGCTATTTTCAGAGCAATTTAATTGTAATTAAATGATCAAA